ACTAAACTAAAATCAAGAGCTAAACTGGCTTGAACTGAATTCTGAGGGGAAATTAATTGAACTTAACTCCCATAAACAGATTGAAAAGACCTAAAAAAAGTTAACTGAACTGACTTAAACTGAATTCTGACTTGAAATGCGCTGAATGGAAACTGATTAGCTGAACTAAACTAAAAATCAATGGTACAAATAGACCTTGAAAGAGATGAACTGGCTTGAACTGAATTGAGAGTAGAACTGAATCACTGAACTCAACTGAATTTGCAAAATAAGAATTAAGAAATAAGAATAAACAACTGGTATGAACTGAATTCAGATTTCAGGCTTAGAGAAGCATTTTCCATACGGGTTAGTGTCAGGGTTCTTCATCCACTGTCTGTACCACATTCTAGTGAGCTCTGAACATCCTTTCACTCCGGTTTTGCAGGCCATTGAGATTGCATTTATTTGGTTGTATCTATAAACAGAAGTCACACAAACCATACAATATTTCAGCTTCCCTTTTATCACAGTGAACATTGCTTATATTGCTAATTTTTATGCAAAAACAGAAATGAATTAAACTCTCATGTTATGCAACCTCTCAGTTATAAGGAGAGTTTAAAGGGGTCATATAAATTTTTTCGTTTTTATTTCCACTGAGGTCCACTTAGTTTTTTAAACCCGTAATAACAGTAACAATTTTGCTTTTTATGATCATATTTCACCCCAGTCTCTGAACCTTACAATTAAACGAGCCATTTTTGCAGTTGTGCCTATATGACTTTTATGTAAACATTCTCTTTGCATATAAAATTACCTATGGGTTTGCACAAGCTCTTGACAGATTTTCCCACACTTTATTCATATTTACCACATTTGTCTTGTGTTTATGAATAGTATATATTTCCTCATTACCTCAGTGTGGTAAAGTTAATGTGTATATGTGGGTGGTCATTTCTTCTTGTGGTCTGTCTGATGTCAGTACAGAACGAGCTGCTTAGTTTCAATAAACGGTTCTTTTTCATAGTACTTTAACTCTTTTATATCCAAAAATCAACAATCGTTTGATTTATCATGATGTGACCCCTTTAAAATTCTAGTTTTATGTTTGTGCTTATAGAATTAAAGCATATAACTGACTGTGGTAACACATTGTGGTGGTACTAAAGTAATATTTAGAATAAACTGTAAACAAAGTAATCATGTATTTACTGGTCCATGTATCTTGGGGGTTTCTGAGTCCAGTTTGATGTGATAACTTTGAAGTGGTCAAAAAGAGGTTGCGCCTTTCTCCGCAGGTAAGTCTGGAGTGGTTTAAATAAATTGATAAATGATCAAATAAGTGTCTAATACGTTCTGAATGAGCATTCTCTGTGTACTGAATTTTTTTTATGTATAAGCTGCATATATATGCATAATATGTAACAAACATACCTGCAAAGGTCCATAGACTTCTGTTCGGTCAAACATGAGGAAAAAGTACTCCAAATTTCTTAT